GGCATAAGTTACAACTTGTTAAAAATTGAGAATTGGACAAAAAAAAAATTATTAGTTACTCTCAAATTGTTGTAGGAGATATGAAAATATATAATTTAGACTATACTACACAACTTTTATGCATATGACATATATGGGTGATTGCGCATAGTAGTTGAATTTTACATTCTTGTTACAAAGATGTACAAGTTAATTTACTAGTTACTATAGGTTTAATATACATTATACTTACCATTCCTACCACTCTCAATTTCTTCTTGTTTAAGGAGTATCTTGATGATGATTATTAAACCCGCATGGCTTTGGAAGAAGAGCTCGGAGATAGACAGTGCAACTACCTCTCAAAAGTATAAAAATTTTTACCAATTATTTGTAAATCTTAACACATAGATTTGGATTTACTAATAAATTATCGTTCATGGACATCTATACTACTAAGATTTGGATGGTCAAATCTTGACCACTAATCTATGAATGATTGTCTATGCCATTGATTCAAAATATATAATATTTATAAGAGCGCTGAGTTCTGGATGACGGTTGATCATGACACTAATTATGCCTTTGTTGGTGCTGCTTGTAAGATTTTAACTTTCAAAATTGACAGAGGAAGAAAAGAAGATGAATAATAATGTTTGAGGATCTTGAAGACAACGTTAAAAAGGAATTGATGTATTCAATTATAGTCGTCCAATATTTTGATGCAGTAATCATCGCTATAGTTTATATGCTAACTGTTTTTTTTCTTCTTTTCTTGCTTCCAAACGAGGTTAGATAGCGTACTATATACATTGGAGTTTTAAATACAATTTTTTTGGCTTCATTTGATACCCTTTTTGAGAATTTGTTGAGCATGCATTTTAATTTTTACGATTGATTGACTTGAAAACAATCGACAAAAAGTTCTAAAATACCAGTGGACTTACATCTTACAATGGACCAAGTTTCCAAAGAAAAAAAAAGAGCATTTTTATGATACTTAGTAATGAACTGATATAACTACAGATCATGTTAAAAAATCAAGTGTTTCAATATCAAATGACTTGTTCAATATCCAAAACACTTCAATAGTTGCTCTTTTTCATTTTTTTTCTTAACCACTTACAAGGTAGTCTAGTCTTTCTTCATTTTTCAATCGTCAACTCCTCGTTGATGTTTATCGTATAAAATTAAAAAAAAAATTGTAGCTACATGATAATTTTTTTAAAAAAAATTACAATTGTAGATTGGACATAGTTCACGAAAAATAAAATTTTACCTCCACCTGATTTGATTGCGGTTGAGAAGTTAAATTCCATGGGAATAAAGCATTGACAGGAAATATTTAATTGCTAATATAAGTAGAAGCCATAGAAAAATTGGAAAACATAGACATATTCGTGAAACTAGAACAATGAATATTTTGAAGTTGCAAATAATCTTCCTGGACTAAATTTGCATTGTCCTACAAAATAATCAAAACATCAACATTCAATAAAAGAAACATATATAGTACATATTAATAGAAATGTTATACAAGAGCATCTTGTGATTGTAGATTAGTTTCACTCTTTGATTTCTTTGTTCTCTTCTTTTCGCATGAGCTTTTGATATTAGTAGTGGATCTGCCTCTTAATCTCCTCTTGACAAGATAAAAAATCCGAATATCATTAGATTTAGTTTGTGATCTTCCAATATCATTTGATGAACCACATCTATTGGAGAATTTATGTTGTTGAATTTGATGAGTTTCTAGTTGATCCATGCAATTATTTACAAATTCCTTCACTTCATCACTCTCAGCACACAAGCTCAATAAATAAGAAGCTCTTTGCATCAATTTATTAAACATATAAGGTTTGAAATCATGGCTACAAACTTTAATGCTAACTTCACTGTTATTCTCTTTAATTTTCACCTTTAGTCCATCTCTTCAAAATATAACAATTTGGAATACTTGTTAAATGTTTAGCATGATTCATCACATGCAATGTATGCCTACACAACCAACCTTGCATTTCAGATAACTTACAACTACAAGTAACATTCTTATACTGTCATTGAATTGCACAATATGCTCTCTTCAATTTCCCTTATTCTTCAAAATGTAAGTGTACTCAAATGATCATCAATGTTAGAACTAATCACATGTACAGATAAACTTTGCTTGAACTTTTCTTGAAACATTTTGAAAATAACATGCATGTACACATTAGTTGCATGTTTCAATATTCCAATACTATTCATAATAATCTTTATAGGTCCTCTTACATATTCAAAATCATTTGTAACTTCTGCATCACGTATTTTTTCAACTTGAATTTTATGGTGGAGCACAAATTAGTTAGAGGCATAGATTTATGTTGCCATGTTACGGAATATATTGTTTGTGCTTTCACTTCTTTGTGTGGATATATATTATACCAGTTGAAAGCACATGAAAACTAAACATATGACTCCTTTTGTTTCTCAAGTCATAAAATCTGTTTAATCAACTATCATCATACACCTTAAATTCTTCACACATAACTTTCCATATTTGCTTAAATTCAGCTTCAAATTCATACCTATGCAAAAGTTTTGAAAAATATATATTTTTCTTTTATACCTCTTTGTCTATACAAATGATCGATATATTCTATTGCATTTTTAGAGATATACCAACCACATAAATGATATATATCATCTGAAAATAATTGTTTAATTGCATTTGCCATTGCAGCAGCTTGATTGGTAAAAATTATCTTTGGGGTCTTATTTTCATAGTTTCCAGAAAAGTTTTGAATACCCACGTAAATGAAGGTATATTTTCATCCAGTAATATATTTTTATCATCAACTGGAAAATATTAGTATATAGGGCAAATTACATTTTACCCCCCTGTGGTTTACTCTTTTTTACATAACCACCCTATAGTTTTAAAAGCTATACATAACCCCCTCATGATTTGGATTAAAGTGTCAAAGTGATGGAAATAGTCATTCGTAACGGAACTTCTAAAAATGTCGAAATTACCCTTATAAATACATGACACATTAACCCCATATACTTTTTATATTTTACCATATAACCCCATTATGGTTTAGTACTTTACCATATAACCCCCTTATGATTTTTAAAATATACACATAACCCCCCTTGATTAATACATAATTTTCAATTTTACATAAGGGTAATTTTGACATTTTAGGTGACGCCGTTACGAATGATCATTTCCGTCACTTTGACACTTTAATCCAAACCATAAGGGGGTTATGTATAGCTTTTGAAACCACTGGAGGGTTATGTGAAAAAACGTTAAACCACAAGGGGATAAAGTGGAATTTACCCTAGTATATATATTATTTCCTTCCAATTGCAAATTTATCAAATAATTCAAGAATGTTTGACAATCTCCTGCAGTAATCAAGATTACCCTTTCAGAATTTGCTAAGTTTGTAGCATCACGAGAGCAAATGAAAGATTTTTGGCACCACTAACATCATCCTTCATGCAATTATATATTATTGTAGTTCTCACCCCTGACTTTGCCATAGATTTAAACGTATCCCTTTGGTTTCACTTATCTTCCTCATTGATCTGATTAAGTGCCTCTGATTTCAGCAGTCATGGCATGATTTTGGAAAGAATTAAACTCTATCGCTTCCCAAACACCATCATCAATCTTGAATCTAATAAAAGGCGGACAGCCACATCTTTTTGCAGTTCTATAACATTTAGGAGCTTTATGAGGTGAACTCTTTAGCCCACAACCTTCATAGCAATACATAAATGTACAACTGCGCAACTTCTCTTTAGTATTTTTGTATTTTTGCCCTTTACGGTCCCCAAATCTTTGATTATATGCATAAGAATTATAGTTATTGAAAGCTTCTTTCTCGTTATTAAATACTAGCCCAATTCTAAACTCAATATCCTTATCAGTTTGACAGTCAAGATAAAATTTCGTTATTTTCAATGGACTGTCATATTTGTAAAATGAACTAATCAGATTAACAGCAGCAAAAATATAAACAAAAAAAAAAAGCATCTTTCAGGTATATAATAATCCATACCCAAATCCACATTTATGCTTAATTTGAAAAACTATTAAAAGAAATCCAGTTCTTTTGCTAGGGCAAAGGATGAAAAATATACAAAAACCTAACCTTTAAACCGAAAGGCTTCTGAAAAGTTTTAATTGCTGATAGATGCAATGAGTAAAAATGAAGGTAAAGGAGGAAAGGATTGGTATGAATATTGAATTGGATTTTGGAAAATAGCAGGAAGTAAGGTTGCAAACGAATCTAACCGCTCACGAGTCAAAACTGATCGAACTAAAGTCGAGCTCAAACTAACCAAATCGAACTCGAGTTCAAAATATTAAATTCATTAACTCGCGAGTTCGAGTATATATATATTTTTTTATTTTTATTTTTATTTTAATAGTAAAATTATATATATATTCCTAATATTTTATTAATTATTAAACAATATTATTTTATTTATTTTTTAAAAAATAAAAAAATATTTTGTTATTTTTTTCAAGTTCAAACTCGAGTTCGACTTGACTCGAATTTGAGTCAAACTTGAGCTCGAGCTTGAGCTTTAAATTGCCAACTCATCGAGTTCGAGTTTGATAAAATTAAATCAAAACTCGATTCAATTAATTCAAAACTCAATTCGACTTAATTCATTTGCAACCCTAGAAGGAAGCAGAGAAAAGGTTTACAACACAAGACAAGACATTTTTTTGGACCTCCATTTTGAATAAGCAAAAAGTCAATTCTTGAGTCAACAAAAACTTGCCATGCAGCTGTTTCTTATTGGTTCTTAACCACCGCGTCATTTTGATTAACAACCATATAATACTTTCTCACGATGGCAAATTGGCTGAGACACCCGGCCAAGCTATCTTGCATATATCATCCCTGTGGGTGAAAGCTGGATCCTGAGAAAACCTTAGATTCACATAGCTCCCTTGATCAGTAAGCAAAAAGCTTATTCTGCTCCAATGTGGTGCCAGCCATGTGCCTAAAGGGCAATGAAAAAGCAAATAAATTATGACATTCCCAGCCTTACTCTTATCTGTACAATCCTGATCTACTTTTGGAAACTAAAGACCTACTTCCAACTCAAAAGTTCTGCTACAGTAGTAGATCATTAAAGCGTACTAGTTTCAAGCACCACGTGATGATTCTATTATCAATAACCAATTCTCAATCAAGCTTGAGAGGCAAGAGAAATTTCCCTTTTCTTTCTCTACTTTTTTGTTTTCGCGGGCATTAGGGTGATAACCATCAAATGTTGTCCTTCCGCAGTGCACTAACATTAAATACATGCCCACCAGATAAACACTTGAGCATCCAATGAGGACTGCTCATACACACAAAAGCGTTGCCTGAGACTTTCCAGAGGTTCTAACACTCTGGTAGCAAGCAAACGCATCAGGAATACCAGAGCTAGGAGAAACATACCAGTCGTGCTTCCACTTTCCCTTGATCTATAGCTTATACAGAACTTGCACCATAACATAAGATATAACACACATAAACACGCACGCAAGTTCTTGTGTATAAATGCTTTAAACAGGATATATGTACTAAAGATCAAGGGCCATTGCTCTGTTATTGCTAGGCTGAGATGGGAGGTGCCAAAGCAGAGTTGGTTCGAGGTGTCTTCTTCAAAACTCGTTCTGGCAAAGCTCGTGATGGCCGTGTAAGTCCATGATTGAACTTTACTAGAGCTTTTCTTGAACTGCAATTATGAATTCGTTATGCAGAATATAGCAATAGACGTGCTTCTTTTCTTGTTTACTATAGTTATACTCCATAATTCCGCACACGTTTAGCTCTGCAAAGTAATCAAGACAGCAATCAAGTTGCCAATCTTCAATTACAAAAAAGTTTTTCTAATGATCTGATCAAACCAGGGAAGAAGCAATGCAGTGGAAAAGAAAGGATGGAGCTCAGTCAAGTCATATTTGTGTGGTGATGAATGTGCTTCGGTCCTGGGAGAAAACGATTCAGCTTCATTCGAACAGCTTGAGATCAGCTCAGTTGTCGCCGAGGAGAATTCAGCTAAGACAACTAGACTATGTCAAATTCATTCAGACTTTACAGAGGAAGATACAGCTTCCTTCAAGAGTTCCGAAGCCACTGTAACTCAACCCATCATACGAGAAATCCCAGGCAAAAGCGATAAAAAGAACATTTTGAACAGTCAAGAACTTTGGGGAGTGAAGCAAAACTCAGCCTATCAGCTCTTTCAGCAAGAAGATGCTGCCATGACCATTCAGTCAGCATTCAGAAATTATCTGGTCAATTCACCCGTATTACAAGATATTAGTCTACTTCAGTATAAAACTGATTGTTTTCATTGACTCTTATTTTAAAAAAAGAAAAATTCGTTAGATTCAATAACCAGCAAGAAATTCAAGATAATTGAAGATCACGGTGATCTTAAACATTACGGGTTTCTCCAACTAGTAGGGCCATTCAATGATGAAATACTTGTTTCATGTAGTTTGTAACCTGGCGTGGGTGCTTGAATTTTCAGGCCAGGCGTTCCTCTCGGATGAAGGTGAATGATGGAAAGCAAGAGATCATTGTGGACACAGCAATTCCAAGCCCAGAGTCTCTAAGCTCATCAATAAAAGTTCAAACAGGTGATTCAACAGGCACATCTGTAGTTGATGTTGAAAGCATTAGCCTCAACCAACCAATGCAAAAGCGTGTAAGAGTCCAAGTGGCAAAGCTGCAGGTAAACCCCAAAAAAGAACTTAAGACACATCTTTTGGAGTTTTAGCTGCAAAATACATGCATCTTCAAAAGACGAAACCTGGAGTTATAGATGAATCTTATAGCTTCCAACTAAGATTCACCAAAATGTAAGCAGTTGGGACAATAAAAGGGATGTAATTGGACAGTACATTGATGCTAGAGGCTTAACTTTCTTTTCGCATGTTACTATCACTAATTCAAGGTTCATTTGTTGACCATATAGTTGTGACTAAACCTATCAAATTGAGTTTATGGTCCTGCTGAGTTACGGCTGCTCGCTAAAAAGGTCATCATCTTTGATTGCTCTTTTCTTCTCTCTTATGCAACACCCGACATTATCATACAAAAAGCTTAGCATAATCTTTGTCAAAGGCACTCAAGAATTTAACTGAAGCAAAAATTCACCTGAATTTACCTGAATTCCATCAAGTCAGATCTCACCAAGAAAATTAATATGCAATGCTCTAGATCATTAAGACTCTCTCTATATTTTTGAAATTTCAATTATTAGTCAAAAATTGATTGCTATTCCTTTTCTCGATATTGATGCAAACCAACCTGAATGCAGTTGCAAATTACTTAATAAGCACCATAGCATTTGGATAAGAGGAAAAGTGAAAAAGGAAAAGAAAAGGCAGTAAGGAATAATTGAACAGAAAGCATTATGTATGTTTCTTCTGCGCAACTTTGACAGGAAGATTGGGATGATAGCACAGTAAGTAGTACCATATCAAAAATGAGGATTCAGAAAAGAATAGAGGCGGCAACAAGGCGTGAGAGAGCTCTTGCATATGCTTTTGCACAACAGGTACAAAAAAATAAACTCGTGAACAAGCAGTGATTAATTCAAATTTGCTATAAACAGAGGCTCTTTGCAGTTAAGAGTATGTGCAAAGAAGAAATGTACCAAATCCAATAGCTTGGATGCCAATATGAGCTGGAGCTGGCTAGAAAGATGGATGGCAACCCGCCAGCCAGAAAGTTCTTTGGTTAGTAACAATGCATGCAAGAGGACCAAGTTGGGTAGCTGCACATCACTGTCCAAAAAATTAATGGATGCAACAGCCGAAGAGGAAAGCTGTGGATCTAATGAGGTTTCTGCACACATTGATGGAATATTGGTAGCTGGTCAAAGAACACAGGATCGTATTAGGCCTGCCAAGATTAAAAGCCGTAAGGAATATCGCAAAGAAACAACTCGTTTCAAGCAGGCAGTGTGTAAAAGAGGCAAAGGTAAATCTTCTAATAAGTAATGTAATTACCAACAACTACTCTGTTATAGGAAAAAGATTACAATGACATTTTATTGACAGATAGGATCTGCTCCTAATTCTGGCCTGTATATTTATTGCTTACTACTGCTTGCTGGATAGGCAAGCAAGAAAGATTTTCTGGCAGATGATGAAAAAGAACATGAAAACAAATTCAAGCAGTCAGGGCAATAAAAAGAACTGAAATGTCAGCTTATCTTAAGTATCCTCTGATCTTGCAAGGTGCAACAACTACTGTCAACATACCTTGTGAGCTCTAGACCCCATTACCCAGTCCATAAAATAGAAAAGCAAACAAATTGTTGACAGGGATTTTCTTAGTTTACTGTGCAACTTCCAGTTTGCTGCTCTTGGAAGGCAAAATGTAAACTACAGAAGCTTGTGCAACAAAAAGAAACCATTTGCCAGTTTGTTCAAGAGTTCTATTACAACATTTAGAAGAGTACCTAAAAGAGTTCACTATAACTTCACAGGTTAGAGCTAAATATAATTTCTGCAACATAATCGCCAGAGGACACAATTCTTTTTAAAACTCCATTAGCAAAAGCAATACAAGTAAAAAAAGACAAGATGAAGAGGATGGAAACAAAAGCAAAAATATATATATATAGATTCAAGCCATTTCACAACTGTCAACAGTTTCTCCTGAAAAGAAAATGAAAGATAGAATTAAAGAAAAATCAACATACAAGCTTAATAAGCCCCTACTATAACCAGACTGAGATCTATTTTTAGGTTTAGAAGGAAGAAAAGTCCAGCAGTAATTCAAGACTTCAAAAGTTGCAATTGCGACTTAGGGAAATGTAGGAAACTAGTAAATGTAACCAAAGCCAGCCAAACCCATTGAAACTATACACTCTTTCACAATGTAAAATCAAAAGTTAAAACTTCAGAGAAAGGAATGATATAAAGAAACAATTGAATGAGCTCCTCGATCATGCTTGACAAAGTGATCTTATTAAAATATAATTTGAGCTATGGGATCATGATAGAATCAAATGACGATAAATAGATTGCATAAGAGCAAGGAAAATAAAAAGACAGAAGACTTGAAGGGCTCAAAAGCTCATGGTAAACAAGAAACAGCGTGAGAATCACAATTATAAATGATGTATGCAGTCAAAGGGGGGAGAGGCCAGTAACTTTAACTTTGGAACCTCCTCCAAAACATTCAGTCCCCTTCCATTCCCTGCTTCAGTAGGTTCTCTGCTGATATTGGGATATTCCAGACAAACCAAAAATAAAGCAACTCCAAAGCTCATCTGTCTAACAAATTAAATAAAAAAAAGAGACAAAAAGTATAACCAGTTTGTTTTCCTGAGAAATTTTTAGCTTTAAATTCTCTTATGCACAAAAAAAAAAGTAAGTAGATTTGTCAATGGCGAAGAATTGAAACAGAACTTAAAACGTCTAAAAGTCAAACCTATGTCTTGCCTTTGTCAGAAGATGGGACTTTGTAAGCTTAGAGACTGGAGGGATGGCCTTGTCCTCATTCATCGGATCACGCTGATGAAAAACCAGGGCGAGTGAAGATAGGACAGCAGGTTGCATATCTGTGTGTGGGTGTGAGAGAGAGAGAGAGAGAGGGAGAGGAATTCATGGTTAGAGAAAGGGTGTCTACAGCCAATGAGAGGAAGAAAAACACGTTTGGGAGGAGCAAATATGCTGTATAGCAAACAGGCAGTTCAGAAAACCATTGAAAACATAATTTTGGCCCCTAAAAAGGTGACAGATACAGTGGATAATGAAGGATAAAAAGGAGAGCAGAAGGAGGAGCAAACTGAAAAGAAAATTTTTCCACAACTCACAAATTATTTCCCCATCTTAAAATATTGAAAGATATAATGATTCAACACCACCAAACAAGCCAATAACAAGCCTAAGTTTCTGGTTAAGATCCTAACTTGTTTATGTAGTGCCAAAACCAACGTTTCTTACCAAAAGGGGTGGGAATGTGGTTACCAACTCGTTACTTTGAACTAAACAACCTGGCACAACTGTCCAAGAAATTTGAATTTCTCATTTCTCAATAAGGTAACGCACTAGAACTGTATCTGATTAATATTGAATGTGATAGCTAGATTACTGATAAATGAGCAATAAAAGCATGAATGAAGCATTTATACCTCCTTTTGATCTCCATTAGTAAAGCTCAATTTGAGCATGCAGCTGTCTCTACTTCTTTGTTAATCACAGCTCAACCTTGTGATAGACTAAAACAAAACTCATTTGAGACATTTCTCATGGGAAAGATAGACTTAAAAGATCTAATTTTGTAGTTTTTTCTAAGAGAGCCCTGTAATTGTTAGTACAGTCATCACTTCTAGAGAGCAAATCTCAGTTAAGGAACATGTCTGACCAGAAGAGATGATTGGCAAATTAATATACCAGTTAGCAAAAACTATTCCACTAAAAACTCTTCCTCCATAGTAGAATCTGCACAAGCAACATAACCTGCATCTTTCATTTGCTTAATTAGTCCCCCTAATAGAACATATATTTCATTTGTTTGACTGCTAGAAGAGTCCTCAACCAGGAACGGGGAAAATCCACCACCAACATCAACCCAAGCACAGCCAGGGTCCTTTCTGACACCCAAGTCTCTCATGAAAGTCCTCACCTTGGCCAGTTTGGTCCAAGACCCAGCAGCTGCATACATGTTAGCAATTAACACATAATATCCAGAATTCTGAGGCTTCATCTCCAGTAGCTTTTCAGCTGCCCATTCTCCCATATATGTATTCCCATGGATCCGACATGCTCCAATGAGCGTCGCCCACATCGCAGATGTTGGTGCATACGGCATCTTTGTGATAATTTCCTGTGCTTTTTTAAGTAAACCTGCTCTTCCATAGAGATCAACCATGCAAGCATAGTGCTCCAAATGAGGAGCTAAACCATAGATGGTTTGCATCTTTTCGAATAGTATCTGACCTTGGACTACAAGACCTGAATGACTGCAGGCTGACAAAACAGCAACCATTGCTACATGATCTGGTTCAATATCAGACCTAATCATCTCTTCAAATAGTTCAATTGCTTCTTTTCCTTCTCCTTGAATCCCATACCCAGCTATTAGTGAAGTGTAAGTGATAACATCTTTCTTTTCTAGCAGATAAAAAAGTGTTTTGGCAGTTGAAACTTTTCCTGATCTTGCATATGTGTCCACAAGCGCATTCCATAGCAACAAATGGTCTTCAAACCCCTCATGCTTTATAATATAGCAATGAAACTCTCTGCCATGCTGCAGATCAGCCACCCGAGCACAAAGGGGCAGGATACTTGCAATAGTCACATAATTCGGTTCTACACCAGAAAGCAACATCTCTCTGAAAAGAAAGGAGGCTTCATCAGATCGATCCCAGTGTGCATAACCAGAGATAATGGAATTCCATGTGATTACACTTTTAGCTTCTAATAATCGGAACAAAACATGTGCATGCATAAGGTTGTTGCACCTAGCATACATAGTAATTAATGCATTTCTAACGTTATCAAGACTACCATAACAACTACGAACAGCCAAACCATGAAATTGTCTTCCAACTCTTAATATACCCAAGTGTGAACAAGCACCCAATCCTATAAGCACAGCCACAGGATCCAAAGGAATACCGCCAGTTCTCATCTGAGAAAGCAACTCAAGTGTCCCTTTAAAGTTACCCGTCCTCAAGCAACCTCCAGCAATGGTATTCCATGTTAAGAGATTTATTTGTGCACCATCTTTTCTCATGTCTTCAAAAAGCTCAAAGGCTTCAATCCACCTACCTTTAGAAGCATATCCAGAAATTATTGTATTCCAAGAAACTGTATCCTTATCAGGCATCTTATCAAAAATCTTGCGAGCAGCATCAATTTCCCCAAATTTCCCATACATGGAAACTAATGCATTTTGCACAAATATGTTGTGTTCTGAAGAGCTGCCATCAATATAGCTGTGAACCACCTTCCCATAGTTCACATCCAATTGCTCACCACATGCCTTAAGTATGGAAGGGTAAGTAAATTTATCAGGTCTTATTCCCTTATTCAGAATACGTTGGAAAGTAGAAATAGCTTCCTTGCTAAGCCCATTTCTGACATATGACGAGATAAGAAGATTCCAAGGCAATGGGTGCAAAAAATTTGATATTTCAGTTATAGTACGTGCATCAACAAGCAAATCGAAGCTAGTGTAAAGAGTTATCAGTTTTGGGACCAGGGCTGGGTGCTCTTCAAGACCCAAACTGATAGCTTGGGCATGAAGTTGCTTACCTTCTGGAAGCAACTTCAGGTTAGTGCTACTTACCAAAAGAGAAGACAATGCCTGTATAGTAAGATCAAACGAGAAGGATGCTACTGTGTGACTTCGAAAACTTGAAAAAGTCCTAAAGGCTTCTGATAAGTGGCCTTGACAGGCAAATTCCTTCAGGGTTTTCAGGAGGGTATCCACCATTGATTCCGTGCGATTGTTCTCACCTATTTTCCACTTTTTGGGAACAAATTTTTGAACATGGGACAAAGAGATGTGTCCTGGTAACCAACTAGATACAGAAGGCATACAATGTAGCTACTGAAGCTATAAAGAATACAGACACAGTAAATGAACAATGAATGCATAGCTGCACTAGCATTGGCAACACTCACAAACAAAATATCCAGTAATATATTGATCAATCACCTCCAAATCTCCCTCTCTGCACTGCAAATACTGGAATAGGAAAGGAATACTATCAGCTAAACCATAGAAAGGTAAAAGGACACATAAAGTGAAAAAAAATTATAAAGCCACTTCTCCACGTATCAATTAATTAAAAAATAAAAAGCAAATAATCCCATAGAAAGATTTAAGTTATTGCCTAAAACCAAGTCCCTCTATACTGCCAACCAACAAGGATACATGTATACATGGTCTTCAAAAAAGAAGTTTCTTTTCCTAATGTGGCAAAAATGAGAACTTGCAGGAATTGAACTGAAAAAAATGTGAAGCCAAGATGCAAAGAATAGACAAAGAATTACCAAAAGGCCGCACCATACACAGCGAAAGGTAAAATGAGGCACATATTTTTCCGATTTGGGGAATCTGATAGACAACTTTGAATCCCTTTTCAGAGTCGACAAAGAGCGTATAATATACTACCTAGTAAGCATTAAGCTCAATTCAATTGGAAAATGCCAGTAATTGATATCCATGGCTACCCAGTTTTTCGAAAATAACTTCGACATTTGTGCCATTAATTGTGAAATGCCAGTACTGATATCAATGGCAGTATTAGACAAGAATTAGGAAAAGTAAAAACTTACCCTGAAGAGTAAAGCAGCAATTGAATTAATCCCGAAGTAGACAAGAGATGAAGAGGAGGCAAGGGGGTTGAAGGGAGAAATCGCCGGGAGAAGGGGTCTTCTGTTTAATGCAAGATTGATTCATAAAGATGTTCTTTTCTATGGGGTTTTAGGGGGGTTTTAGTCAAAAAAAAAAAAAGGCTTAAACCCCAAGTCTACGAGGCTCTTGGATTTTCCACCGTTCTTCTTATTTATCTATATATTTATTTATTTAATTTTTCCTTTTTTTTTAAATGGTTTTTCGCCAAATCCCAATTAATCTTTCAGTAATTTACTTCTATAATTTTTCCTGATTTTATAATCTCGTTGTAACTTGACTTAACATTTAAATTTTTTGTTTGGATCAGAGATTTAATGTCTACGTATTATATTAATAACAACTAAAACACATTTGACATCACCATTTTTCTAGCAAAATTTTAAGAGATTGAATTCAATGCAATTGTCGGAGCAAGTTTAGATATGTTTAAGAGCAAATCGTGTAAAATGTCATCAAATTATACATTTGTACTGACTCAGGTCACTAACGAAATCCATAATATGATGGCGGTTGGGCAAGTAGGCCTCTACGTCTAGTCGTTCAGAACATCTCTTTTTCAAGAAGGCAGCGAAATTCGACTTTTTCTAAAAATAGAGTACTACGAAAGGAAGTTAATCATAGATTATCAATAAATCTAAAAGTAATTCTTTCCAAGTCGATGCCCGAGCGGTTAATGGGGACGGACTGTAAATTCATTAGTAACATGTCTACACAGGTTCAAATCCAGCTCGCCCCAATAATTCGTCAATCCAATCTATCATGAGAGGATATAACCCCCTATCTTTCGTAAAGAGTCAATGTGGAGATAAAAAGAATAAAAATATCTGCAAGATTCCTTTTTTCATTGGGGTTGTAGTTCAATTGGTCAAAGCACCACCCTATCAAGGCGAAAGCTGCCGGTTCTTTATCTCCACTTGCGGCTTGATTTTGGACAAGTATAATCTCCGGTTCACCTCGTTGGCTAACTTTTGTGAGAGGGTAAATACTTGGGTAAATTTGGTCTACAGCCCTGTTCGTAGATCGAGTGACCCAGAATTTACCACGTCATCAATGCGAATTCAATACTTTTTTTTTGTTTTTTTTTTCCTAACGAGAATAATTGAATTCAATACTTAGAAACCAAAAATTTTTCTCTCTCTACTCACCATTCTGATTCGCAACACCACCAATTGAATCAAGAAGCTCTTCTCTTAGAGCTTCTGGCATCTCTTCGGTGCCTTCCATTCTTGTCTTTATAACATCAACCAATTTTGCCTTCCAATCAAGCTTACATATACAGAGCTAAGCCATTCAAAGTTGGAATTCATTCTTAAAATCATATGAGAAAGGAGACAGAATGAAAAAAAGTAAAAAAAAAAAACTTGCTGCAGAAAATTTTGGGAAAAGAGAGGAAGAAAATCCACCAGTCACATCTTCCATTTGATTTCTAGATCTATTTAAAAAAAATTATATGTCTTGCACTTTTGGAGGACATGAGAAACTATAAAGTAAGTGATGGGACTCTTACGATGGAGAAGAAGAGGCCAAAACAACTAGAGATGTAGGCTTTAATGAGCTAATATCGTTGATACCTAACATATCCATCTTCTTAACACTGAATTTTTTAATTAATTAGGAGAACATCATGTTCTAGTTCCAATCTACTAGGTTCTTCAAATTCTTTTTTTTTTTTTTGGAAAATCTTTTAATTTAGAAATAGAACTGCCATTGCTTTATACAGCTATAGATAGGATTGTAATCAAATCGAACCACTCGTGGTAAGGTTGTAATCGAATTAAATTACTTGCAAGTAGCTTAGTCAACAACTCGACTTGAACTCAGGTAGCTCGTAGGCCCTAAGTCCCCTAACAAGTCGAGTTCGTGTATCTAATAGTAAAATTCGAACGCTCGTCAAGCCTTATCTAACTTTTTAATTTTAATTTTAAATATATTATTATTATGAAATCACTTTTGTGCGCACAAGAGTGGTTGAATTTACAAAAAGTTTTAGATTGTATGAAATTTTTTGAAGGATAATGTTTTTTCGCTCAAAAATTATCAAAAAAATGAAATCCCCAAATCTTCATAACTTGAAATCGATAAGACTCGCTTTGATTTGAACCCATGCAAGTCGAGTTCGAGCTGCAATAATGCTACTCATTCGAGTTCGAGTATTCTTCGTACAAGTCGAGTCGATTTCGAATACGACCGTATTCGGGATACTTACCTCGACCCGACTCAATGGACTCTATTACATCCCTTGGCACTGGGGCTGCTTTGTATTTACAATTAACTAATAACCCCCAGCAAATTTCCTCCTCAGCGCTCCCGCCCAGGAGGGGCATTTCCGTCAACTAAATCCTTCGCCACATGCACATTTATTTCATTGAACACGTTGAAATTCATAGGGTTCTGTTTGGAAATTCTTTCCACTTGTCTCCACGGCCCCACCTCTGAAGTCTGAAATCCAGAACTAAAAATTCTCTGCCCAAACAGGCACAAGCAAAGATTTGAGACAGAGGAGAGGCGACCGACGCCCACGCGCTCCCTTGCAAACTTCTTAGCTGCCTCCGCCCCGCCCACCAGAAAAATAAAAATGCAATTTCAGAAACTCCATTGATTGCTCCACCGGATTTTCAACTCAGATTCTGAAGCTCTATCGCCTTTGATTGATGGTGGATTTTTGAAAAATGTGCGGAATTACGGCGACCCTGCCCTGCCCAATTCGGTGCTATAGTAATGGTTTTGGGGAAAAGAGGCTCGGTTTTGCTGGTACCGTAGCAAAGGATGCTCAGAGATCGCAATTTCTCAAAATATCCAGGCCTTTTCTTCAGGAGGTAACTTCTACTTCTGAGTTCTAATTCTGTCATTTACTGCATTTTAATTTGATTTTTTTTGTTAAGGTCTGTTTGGTTAGCAAAGCACAAAGCGTTTGATTTTTTATTTATTTGTTTTGTTTGTTTGATGCACTTTGAAAAATCATCAAGAGTTTTGATAGTTGTTACTCAAAAGTAGTGAAATGGTGGACGACAATTAACACATGTTGCCCCTTTCATTTTGCGAAAATTCATTTTTTTTTTACTCAGAATGTAGGATGGAAATGTTAATGTTTTCTTTCAAGAAGAGTACATCGCAACTTTGGCGTCTCCAATTATGAAAAGTAAAGTTTATCTGTATAAAATAGGATTTAATTTATCATATTCTTTATTATAATTGGACAAAGGACTCCTTTTTAGTGTTAAAACCTATTATGGTTGTAAAAGTCCTTGGAGCATGCTAGAGAAGGTGGGATACCTGTCACTTTTTATGCAAAATTGTAAAATTTTCTAGAGAATTGTTTACTTTTACAATTAAGGGGCAGATGTCACTTTAGAGTGTTTATTATGGTCCAGCGACCCTTTTTTGGTGGATTTTACTGTTCCCTGAGGGCATTATTATAATCGCTCGAGCTTTCATATAAGGAAACTGGACATTGTTTTTGTTTGATCTATGTTGGCTTCCTATTGAGTTGCCTTCCACTTTTCTTGTTAGGAATTTCCTAAACTTTCAATGAGGGCGGCATTCAAAGGTAGAGGTATTCAAATGGCATTGGCAGATGAGAGACTTCTGCAAAGGAGAGCTGTAGTAAAGCCTGCTGACATTTTGGTAAATATGATTAGCTCCTTTTGAGATTGCCACATATGTGAGGTTGGAATATTTTTGGAACTTTGGTTTTGGTTTGAATTGCAAAGCCATGTAATTGATGAAGGGTGGTAATTTCTCTGTGCAGGCATATGATCTTGTCCAAGGAGCTGATGTAAGTTAAAGTCTACTTAGTACACCTGCTTTTTAATGGGATTACAACACTTGGTTGCACCAAAATATCATTTCACCTTAAGTTCTCATTAGTTGCAATGAGAAATCTTTCAATACTACTGTTATGATGCTTTTCCAGGAAGGTTTTAGAGTTAAAGATGCTAGACAAATGTTTATGCTTTCAGTATGTCTGATAGTTACCATGATAGTGAATCAAAATATTTTTATTTACTAAAAAATTTGTAGTAGCAGAGAGCATTTGTTATGTCGGTGCTGTAAAGTGCTGTAATTCATTTCAAATCTTCTCTGATGCCAAGAGGTTGTATAATAGGTTTAAAGTCCTGCAGTTAGACCTTTCTCCAGGTCTCATGCGTGGTTCTTTGACTATTGATTTGTTGGTTTTACTTTCCCGCAACAAGATTGAAAACAGTAATGCTACTTCAAACAAAAAGGGAAAAAAAAAAGGACCCAGTTTGGATAATGTTTAATTGCAAAAGCGAACTTTTTCTCTACTTTATAGACTTCTCTAGTTGATTGCTAAGCTTGATGTTCTAGAATCTGAATGTCTGTCAGATCTGGTTTTGCTAGTTTATGGTACCCACCAAGCTCTGTTGTGCTATTGCATAACGATTTGACTTACAGTGGAGAGAGTGACCCTTCTTACAGTATCTGGAAATTGTTTTGAGAATTTTGGTGATCTTTTACAAATGTTTTGTGTCTTAACTCATCGAGTATTTCCTATGAAATTTTGGTATAATCAGAAATTGAACGATTCACATTCTTTGTAGCCTTTTCTGCCATTGAGGATATTTTAGAACAAGAATATCCCATCTAAGATTAAATGTACATTGGAGTCAGTTCAATTGGTTCTGAATTCAATTAATTCTGTTGCCTTCTGACTGAGAATGTCTAAGATGTTAGTAAGATTCTTGATTTATATGCAAGTCCTCTAGAGAGGTCAATAATATTGATCTTTTCTTTCAATTTCAGGTATCTGAGAGAGCTTTAGGACAATATATTATCTTTAGTGAGTAGTTGGATTCCTAGAAAAAGAAAAGGTACATGGCCTTGTTGAGATTAGATTTTCAGGTTTTAGTGGGACTGGAAGGTACTATTGATAAAACCTCAATTTGCAGTACTCTGAGACATTAAGAATGGGAGGACGGCGATGGCTTTTTTGAATTAGTTCATGCAGAACCCTTGCTAGCCTTTAGGATTTAGAAGCCACTATTGCTTTAGGTATTTCAGCAATTCTTCTTCATGTTATATGAAGAGAGATGGTGTGAGCAACTCTTTTCTTTAGAGGACTTGATGTCATC